CCATTTTGGGGCCGGGGAGATGGCTCAGTAGAATAAGCGCTTGCCTGGCAAGCACAAGGGCCTGAGTTCAATCCCTGGTTCCACAAAAAAAAAAAAAAAAGAAAAGAAAAAGAAAAAAGAAAGAAAAGAAAAAGAAAAAAGGAAAAAAGTAGCTTCCTTTGAGAAGCAACAGAGAAAATAGTATCAAACAGCAAGTTTTACTTAAGGCACAAAGGTAGAGGCAGCTTTAGATTTATAGACATTTGCTGACTAGTGCAGGCTCTTCAGAGGGCGGAAAGGGAGGTACAGCAGGGGAGGGGCTGGGATCTATAGAGTAGCATGGGGATGGACAAGGATGGGACAGAAAGGACCTGTGTCCTGTGTGGCTGTGAAGTCAGCAGATGTGCTGCAAAAGGGACCTAGCCCCAGCCGGTCTGAAGAGCCGGCACCTGGTTCCAGTGCAAATGTGGTACCTGCAGGCAGCATATTCCAACCTCTCAAGGTGGGATCTGGCCATTTTCAGTGTGGGCAGAGCTCATGGTGACTTTTGCAGGATCTCATCAAATCAGGAGCAAAACCAGTCTCCTGGTACCCAGCAGCAACTGACTCGCTACTCTTGCATGTCCGTCTTAGTTGCAGTGCTCATTTACCTTCTTGCTGGCAGAGCTGGATCCTTCAGTGCATTAGAATATGAAAATGAAAGGAAGCAAGGCAGAATGGTCTTGCTTTGGAGCCGTTCCGGGTGCAGGTGCAGAGCAGGTCTGTGCAGAAGGGATGAGCACTGGCTAGGCACGCCCAGGTCAGGAGAGCAGGGTCTGCACCCAGAAGGATGGTGTGACTGTGGCTGTGTGCCTTCCTCTCATGCATGTGCTTTGTCCACAGGGTCATGTAGGCACAACTGCAACCAAGAAGATCGATGTCTACCTCCCCCTGCACTCGAGCCAGGACAGATTGCTGCCAATGACCGTGGTGACAATGGCCAGCGCCAGAGTGCAGGACCTCATTGGGCTCATCTGTTGGCAGTATACAAGCGAAGGACGGGAGCCAAAGCTCAAGTAATCCTTTCTCTTTTTGGCTACTCTCTAGTTTCTGTTGGCCTCCAGCCCACCACAGTTCCATTCTTGGCCAAGTCAGTCTTTCTAAGAGGTCTCGGCCTGGGCACCAGACCTCTGCACTGACCCAGCTCATGCTGCCTACCAGCTCTTGGACCTGTAGCTCAGGCTCACCTCACGGATTCTGCCTGCAAAGTGAACTTACAAGGTTAGGAATTGAGATATGAGAAAATTAATTTTAATGATTTCCAAACCCTTTCATGATCCCTACTGATAAAAGTACTGTGGGAGGTAATAGGAAAGAACTGATGTTTGTTGAGGACCTACCATGAGCTGGCACTGGGCTGAGCACTTCATACCTAGTGTCTTGTTTGATTCTCCCAGCTCCCTGTAAAGTGCGTATTGTGGTCCTCTTTGACTCTGCTCAGGGTCAGAAGGTTGTTACTTGCCAAAGGTTATACCAAGGGAAGGTGGCTGAGGCAGGATTTGAATCCAGATCTGTTTGGTGCCAAGGTTGCTGCATGATTTCCTTCTGCTGTGTCTCGGTTACTCTTCTCTCACTGCTGGGATAAAATGCGTTATACCCAAAATGAAGGAAGGAAACATTTAGCTCTCAATCAATGGGGAGGTTTCAGTCCTACTCAGCTGACTCCAAGGCAGAGTGGTACATGGCACAGAGAGCAACTGTTCATGGCGGCAGCAGAGAGCAAGAGAGCAGTACTTGAGGGGCTGAAGCAGGAGGATCATTGTGAGTTTGAGACCAGACTGGGCTACAAAGTGAGCTTGAGGCCAGCCTGAGCTGCATAGCGAGACTGTCTCAAAAAGACGAAAATAAGTAACATGGTCTTTTAGGTTCACACTGAGTTCCATGTTGTGCTGCAGCTACATCTCTGGCCATCTGTACATGTTAAGTACCAGAGGATAGCATTTCAGCACATCTTTTTCAGGAATGCAGTTCAACCCTGTAACTTACTTAGTTGATGGTCCCTTTTTATTTTTTTTATTTTTTATTTTTTTTGGTCCCTTTTTATTATATTCTTTCTGTTAGTAGTGAAAACTAGACGGAACCCAGTCATCCTTCTCCAGGGAATTGTGAGGCACTGTGATCATCTAGCTGTACAGTGTAGTGCTACTACACAGTAAAATAGGAACAGACACTGATATGTGTAGCAAGTCTGATAACTTCTCTTGGAGAAAAAAACAACCTGAGAAGTTTGCATATTGTGTGATTTCATTTACATCACAATCAAAGTGACAGAAGTACAGGGACACAACTGTTGCTTAGCTGTAGGAGATAAGGGACAGTGTTGGAGAAGAGTGCAACTATGAAGTGGTACTAGAGAGGAGCTCTGGTGATGGTATTCAGTATTCCAGTGATTACAACAATTTAAATGTGCAAACGGATGTGTAAAACAATGCACACGAATTAGTGCATGTACATAACTGGGTGAAAACAGATTAAGGGCTATAGTCATTTAACAGGATTGTGCCAATGTCCAGTTTCCCTGATCTTGATATTGGACTATAATAATTATAAGATAGCTTACCCACCCCTGTCCCCCCGCACACACCAAGATCTAACTATGTCGTTCACACTGGTCTTGAATTCACTATGAAGCCCTGGTTAGCCGTGAATTCACAGTGGTCCTCCTGCCTCAGCCTCCCTGTCATGCTTATAAGCTTGCCCCACCATGTACCATGCTGTTTCATTGTCTTAACAGCAGTTCTGTGAGAAATTTTAAATGTCAGGGAACTTCAGTTTATCTGTATTTTCTTTCATGAATTGTGCTTTGGGAGTTTTCTCTAAAAAGTCATTAAATCCAAGGTTACCTGTTATCTCTAGAAATTTTATATTTTGTGCTTACATTTAGATTTATGATCCTGACTGGGACGTAGACCAGTGGTATAACCCTGGCCTACCATGTCCCAGCAGTAAAACGCTGGGTGGGCCTGATCCCTAGCACATAACATCAGTAACTGTGATCTAGCTTAAGTTAATTTTTAGAGAAAGCTGTCAAGTATGCATCTAGATTCCATGTAGTCGCATATAGATCTGGTTTCTCTAGTACCTTTCTTTTTTCTTTCTTTCCTTTTGCCTTTGCCATTGCCTTTGCTCCTGTCTCAGAGATGAATTGACTTTTTCTATGGATATATTTCTGGCATATAAGATTCTTTAAAACATCCCTTAATTTATACTTCCCTATTAGATTTCAAAATGAAACAATATCTTTTTAAGTAACACCTATTTGTGAGAGAAAAAGAAAATTCAGTGAGGTTTTATCCTGTCATGAATTTGAGATATACACCTGCTCTTTACACAAAACCACATTTACTCTACTTCATAGATAATTTAAAGGATTTTCAAGAGAAATTTTGACTATTCCCATTTTTTGTGGAAGACTTGAGTCATATATTATGACTGTCTTGTATACCAGAATGGCCCTTCCTTGCCTTCTTCCTTCCACTAGTCCCTCAGGCATTTAGCATAATTTCACAGGCCTCTTATCTACTTAGCTATTTATCAGGCTACTGATAGGTGAGCTGCTAAAAGCCTAAAGAGTTTGCTATGGTCCGGAGCTAGAAGAGTAGTGTACCTTGAAGATTATTGCTGTGCTCAGAGAGTGGAAGTTTTCAGCTTAGAGCAGTGCTGTCCAAAAGAAATACTGTATTAATGCAAGCTGCAAATGTGAGCACATTTTGCAATTTTTTAATTTCTAGTAATCACAATTTAAAAAATTAATAAAGGGTGAAATTAATTTTCTAATGTATCTTATTATAGCCAAACTATATCATTTCAATGTGTAATCAATATGTAATTATTGATGAGATATATAAGGTTCTTATTTTGGTTGTCTTTGCTATCTGGTGTTTATTGGTAATTGAAAGCACAGCTCCATTCACAGTTGCTGCCTGTAGTGTATGGCCGGAACTGTTCAGCAGTGCAGTACACCAGGAGCTGGTATGACCATGCCGTGGCAGTCACCATCCTGTGGTACATTCACTTCATACTAAAACGACTGGGGAGGTAGTTCAGTGGCATAAGCACCTGCCTGGCAAGCACAAGGTCTTGAGTTCAGTTCCTGGTACCAAAAAGCATGCTGATAAAGCCTTAGCTGTCAGGAGTCCTTGGAGATTGCTGATAATTTGTGGAATGTTTATCTCATTAAGCATCAAACTTGATTTTAATCATTTTTCATAAAAGCTTTCTAAATATGTAAACATCTGTGTTTGCAGCAAGCCCCCCCCCACCCCACCATGGAGATGGAGTCTCAGTTCATCTTGTTTTCCCCAAACAAGCCTCAGACTCAGTTTGACTATTTCAGCCTCCTCAGTAGCTAAGATCACAGGCACATACCACCACAGCCAGATTTTTGTCTGTCTCCTTAATCAGAGTATAACATAGCAGTTATAAGTGTGAAATACAGTACCATACTTTCTGTTTTAAATCTGGTGTTGACACCAGCAGGTGACCTTGGATGAACTACTTAAAGCCCCATGTAATAAAGTTTCTTTGTGTATAAAATGAGGTGGAAACTATTTGAGTAGTTATGAAAGTGAAATGGCAGATCCTCAATAAATGTGCCTTTCTCCTGCTACTAAATGTTACAACTACAGCTCACTGCTACTACAGTTAAGACTAGTATTAGTTCAGCAGTAGTAGCATAAGTTGCCCTTTCTAGATGATTTGAATAAGAGCGCGATATGTGATGCTGTGATGCCCTGCAGACTTATAACAGAATTTGGCAGTGTTTGCCCTTATATTACGTTTCCAGACAACTTTGTTATTTGCATTTTTGTATGTTCTTCATGGTTCCCTTTTGCATTGTCTGCATGTAGACCTATGTCTACTCTTCTCCCATTTCTACATCACTGCTTCTGCTTTATGTTCCTTAGTATCATCTCTGAAAATCATTTGCCTCAACACCATCAGTGGCCCTTCCCTTCTGATGGCTCCCAGACATGCTCCTGTATCTACATTGTAAAACTTCACATCCCTTATCTGGCAGTAATACCCTGTCTGCTTTTCTGTTTTCCAGTCAGAAATACCTTTCTTCTTCTCTTCGTATCCTGCTTAATCTCTTTGTTCATCCCTCCTCCCCCAGATCTGGCAACTGCTAACCTTTCATTGTCTCTCTAGTTTTTATTTCTTCATTCAGAAAATATTTTTGAAATCCTAGGCCCTAGGAATTGAGGATAAGATGGAGAACAAGAGAAATGTCATTGCTTCATTCAAAAATTTAGTATGTTGCGAAAGAAGGAATTATCAAATGTAATAGCACTTTGTGACTGGCTCATTTCACTTATCATTTGTATTCATTCATGCATTCTACAAATATTTATTGAGCGTTTGCTGTATCCCAGGCATTTCACTGGATGTATGATGGTGAGTGGAACCAGACATGATCTCTTATGAATTCCACAGTCTAGTGAGGAAAGTGGGCAAAGAACTAAAATTAATTCAAATAATGTCTGGTTAAAAATGGAGTCAAGTGCTCTGACAGAAAAGAACACCATTTAAGAGTGCCTAGCCTCAAAGGCAGGGAGAAGTCCCCAGAAAGCCACAGCAGAGGCTTTTGAATAAGCTGTTCTGGCAAGTGGTGAACCCGTGCCAGGAGGGGTTACACTGTGCTCGGGGAACAGGGAGGGCGCGTGTGGCTGCAGTGCAAAGGATGGAGAGAAAGAAATGGAATGAGACGTGGGAAGGACCGCTGTGAGCCTGAGAGATATGAACAGGTTCTGGAAATACTGGAAAGGTAGTATTCTTAGGACTTGAGAAAGAATTGCATCTGGGGAGTGTGGGAGAGGAGTGGTATCAGAGGTGACTCCCAAGATTTTGGTTGTGCCCATTGTGTGTTTTAGTGCTCTTCGTTGAGTAGGACATATGGGGAATATCAGAAGGGTAGGGTTTTCAATTTTGGTGTGTGAAGAGGAGTGGTAAGGACAGCTGGAGTTTGGTCTTCTGCCTGTTAATCTACAATGCCCTTGCTGTATCTCAGAGTTTT